TGCATTATGCTGCAATCAGCTTCAGGTATTAGCTATTTCTTTGACTTTTTTTTTTGCACCTGAAAGAAACATAATGTATGCATGTTTGTGTACATGTCTATTTGTGCTTTTAAAGTATATTAAAATAGATTTAGTTGCACACATCCTCTTCTTTGTGAGATGACAGAACAGACATGTAACAGTGGTTCATCACATCGCAGACTGTTTTCCTGAAGAACACCAGATATTATGACAGTAATGCTTATTGAATTTTTAAAGAGCTTCTTTGGAGGAACAGGCTTTGAATGCAAATTTTAGAAAAAATATAATTTACATTTTTTATTATATATATCTGATGTACATTTTTCTGGTTATAATAATTATTCTGACAAATAACTGTAGACAATATTCATATTTATGTGATTGTCATCTTATTCAACTCTTAGCTCTGCTGGTTTTGGGGTATTTTTTTTTGGTTTGTTGGGTTTTTTATTAAGCTGGAAGCAAAATAAATCCTCAACTTGTAGTGGAACTATTTGCATAGACAGGTTGTTTTAGTCTTTAAGTTATCTTTCCTTTGGACATTTTTTAAATAAAATTTGACTGAGCTGTGGAGGGATGCTCATGAAAACTTCATCAGTCATGAGAATTACCATTGTAAGATGAGGCCTATAAGAAAAAAGCACTAGGATGTTTCTGTCTTCAGTTCCTCACAGTATTGTTTGAGGTGCAGTTTTCTTTCACTCTGTGAATGCATTTAAACTGATTGTAGTGTTATTTAGACTATTCTATCTTATATTTCAACATATTTTTCTTGTTATCATGTTATCTTATTTATATTTAATTGTTTTTCTGCTTCTTCTCCTTACCAGAATGTTTGTATCTTTAGAAAGCTTTCTGCTCATCAGATATATTCCTGAGCCCTATGTAAGGTGATTAGAACTGAAGGAAATGGCAAAAATGTGACTGGGTTTTTATAAGAATTTTAGTTCTCCAAGCATACTTAGTGACCTTCAGTTAAAAAAAAAAATCAAAACTTTCTGTATTACATAGCAAGCAGTAACAAAGAATTTTGTCTGTTTTCTCCTAAGACCATTCTGAAATGAAAGACAATTTTCTTTCTTTTTCTTGCTCTCGTTGCATGTAACTCAAATACATCTTTTTTTATATACTCTTTCTTGCTATGCAATTGTAATGCTACTACCATTTGCTCTAATAAATCTCTTTTTCTATGTTGTTCCAAACTGCAATTTAAAAAATGGTCTATATGGGTGGGAAAACAATCCTTCTATACCTTTGGTGAATATCTCACAACCAAGGTAGAGTCAGTCTTACTCATTAGCTAATTAACTAGATATTTCATAACCTTCTCTATTGAACAACGTGAAAGAGACATATCAGACTATATTGCAGTTGGTAGTATTCTTGTGGAAAATTAAAGTTTGATGCCATTTAGTGAAAAGGGAAAATTGAACCCAGATTTCTCCCATTCTGGAATAGTCTCCTATCATTTTGTCTAAAATGAAGATGATGCCATATGTTCCAGGATTTTGATTCTAAACTCGAGAACATTTTTTGAGCAGGAATTAGTCAATAAATCTGAGACACAGTTATGAATGGTTTCAGAATGGCTGAATAGATCTTACTATAAACCACGATTAAATATTTACTTCTGTTTTTTCCTATGTTATTGAAAAACTTCTATACAGTAGCTAATTTGATAGTTTGTGATTAGATAAGAATTCAGAAAGACACTGGCAAGCTTGAAAAACATTAAAAATATTCCTTGCTCTCAGGAGCACATCAGTGCCTTGGTAGAAAGAAAAAAAAAAATAGACAAATTGAGGATTGAAATTGTCAAGAGGTTTCTTTGAAAATTTATAGAAATACTCTATGTTATACCCAATTTTGCACCTGGTCATACAAGTTCTGTATATTAGAGAGTGTTAATATTGGGTTTTAGCTGTAATGTAGCTCCAGTTGTAAAGTTGTATAAATTGAAAGGATTTTTTTTCCGTTTCTAATTTTTACATAGTGAGAGACTCATTATGTTCTTAGAGTTACTCAGAGGGTTCACTGAGAGTTTGGACTTATTCAGATGAAGAAGATAGAGGCAGATGGCCATGTCTGGGGAAGATATGAAACTGTACTCTGAAAATACATCAGAACTGTTGAAGACTCAATAAATTCTCATAAGTTTAACAAAAACAGAAGGACATAAAATAAAAAGCATTAGAAAGGTTGGCCTAAGTTTAATCTACTCTGTATCTTACTTGATAGTGACCAAATATGAATGCCTTATGCCTTTGGCAAATGTTTAATTGCACCAAAAAAAAAAAAAAAAAAAAAAAAAAAAAGAGAGAGCATAGTGACCCCTCTTCATAATGTTGTTACAGCATTCGACTATTTGCAGCCCAAAACCCTACTGGCTGTTTCCTATGCATTATGTAACCATAGTAGATTTATGTTCTATGGATTTCTCCACTGAAGGCATGTATAATTTTTATACCATCAAGATATTATTGCAAGGAGTTCCACATGTAACTAAATACCTAATCCCCATGAGGGGGTTACACTTTTTGTTTCCAATAATTTAAAAATTACAAAGGCTGAAAAGGAGGTCCAATGTTTATGTTCTAGAGCTTTCATTTGTGTGACATGCACCCAGCAGATTCTGACAACAGATAGTGCCAATTTTCTGCGTTTCAGCAGAACTGTTCATAGAAGTAACATTCTTGATTCCTGAGACAGAATCTTTTTCTTTTGGATCAGGCCTTTTTTTTTTTTTTTTTTGGCTAGTTATGGATATTTTCCTTATATCAAGAGAAGCCCTTAGTTAAAACATTTAAAAGAAAAGTCTTATTCCAACTTATGTTTTGTAGAGCTCATTAGTGGCTCTTTACTGTTTGCACATCTACAAGAATGAAAGTATTGAAGAATTACTTTGTAGCGGCACTATTTATGTATGTTTTATCTTAATATTTAAGTCAGGCTGAAGCATTCTGTTAAAAAAGAACTTGGTCAGTCTTCTACAGCTCACAAGGAATAATATTACTCATCTCCTCTCCATAATACATATTGGTAACAGTAGAGGCAACACACGTCTCATGCCATCAAAAAAATTAAACATAGACTTCTACATAGTCATACCATAGAGTATGTATGGTATGATACAGTACATAGGAGTTTGTGTCACACTTCTGATGATTTATAAAGCTATCTCCAGTCTCTTTTAATGTATCGGATATCTTGTAGCTTTGATGATAACATCTATGCTTCTGGTATCAGTCAGGCTTTAAGTGGCTATAGAGGAGTACGTCCTTGCACAATTGATAGCAAAATACTTATTTGTCAAGAAAGAATAATCTCCGTGCAAAACCTCAAGATATATATGAAAACCCAAACACATACAAAAACCGATTTTTTTGTAGCATTTTCAGTACCACTTAATTAAAATTTCGTTTAGTTTAAATTCAACTTAGTTGAATTTTCTGGGGCCTAGTATGCTTGATTTTTTTTCATTTAAATTTAAGTTGTTCTTCTAATATAATGCTCTCCTAGCAGCTTTTCATTTATCAAGCTATCAAGATGTCACATATATATATATTCATGCTTAAGATCTGTCTTGTTACGCTTAGCTTACATGAGCTATTATCGGCAGAAAGGTAGATGTAAGTTTATTCAGTATTAATGTTCACTGGATGCCATAGAATACTATAAACCAATACTATAATTCAATAATAATTCAATAGAAAAAATTGAATAAGAATTGATTAAAAGTTAATTTACTTTTTTGTTGTTGTTGTTTCCTATATCAGGATAATGGGGCTGTTGTTGGGGACTTTTGTTTTCGATAAATGGTTTTAAATTATGAAAAATCTACATTTACCTATACAACAGGCCTCAGAGAGGCAGTTAAATATTTTTATTTCTGAGGCAAAAGTGAAAAACAGGTCTCCTTCAAATGAATCCTGTGTATCATATACTTGCTGGATTGTAAAGTATTGTCTTACAATGTTCAGTGGCACCTTAAAATGATGGAAGAACAAATAGTGTATTTTCTACAAAAAAAGGTCAAAAAAGGTATAGCGTTCACATTGAAGCCCATCCTTCCATTTCATTTCAGCCAGAAGGCACACAGTTCATGCATTCTGAGATTGCTCCAGCATGTGAACCAAAACACAGTGAATGGGAACTGTCAGGAGTTTTCCCAGCCAAACCAAAAAAACTCATGTAGATGCACCTGTAAGCCTCCAGTATAAATCAGCTCCTATTAACCTCAAAAGAATCAGAAGAATGAAAACAAGAAGAAAGGAGAGATTCTGAATATTTTAGCTATATAAAAAGCTCCATTTTTCCCTTCTACTGTATCAAATATCAGAAAGCCTGACTATGAGATACAGGTTTTGTAAAACCAAGCTTATTGTTTTGCTTTCCTTTTCTGAGATAAATTCCAGGAAGGCCAATTGTTAAAACCATACACATTCAGCTATTTGAATTGCTTGCTATTTATTCAAGCAATTAAAATAACCCTACCTGCTTACTAGCTCACTCTGAAAAAGATACTCATAACTGCCCTCTTCTCCCTCCTTCTGTAGTAGGTATCCTATGCCATCTTCATAGGCAAGAGAAAGGTGACACTGAAAAAGAAAGAAATTGGATAACAAAGGTAAAAACATATGTTATTTCTCTTGAGCAACATGGCCTGCATGGATTATATTACCCCAAGCTTTTTTGTAGCTTAGGAGGTAGTTTTATATCATGATCACAGAATAATAAATATTCATCACAATATTTTTTTCATATGGTAAAATGATATATGGTCTGTCCATATTTTCTTTCCCTTTCTGAGTGATGTACTCCCCTTCAGATCCTACTCTACTCTAACAATTAAAAAAAAACCAAAACCAATGATGTCATTCCAGTGGAACTGATGGCCCCCATTGGCCTACATGGAGTGTGTATGTGTTGTCAGGGGAAGTTCTCCTTGGACAGTATGTCACTTGCTTGGAAGTACTCAGAGAATTTAAGCAGTCAGCTACATTCTGATGGTTTAACAAGTAGCTGGTCCTCACCTCATCTGCTATATCTTCATGCTTTTACTCTACAGCAAGTGTGGAATTAATCTGCTTCGCGGAGCTGGAGTATCCTTATTTACCATTCATGTAGGAATGCTAAGAGTATACTTGTGGCCAGTTACTACAAGAGCATTGGTGCTCAAGTGACATTTTGCCCCTTATCATGTAGCTATACTTCAAAAAAGGATGGGGAAATGCAAATATCTCTAATCTCAGTTAAAGATAAAGTGAGCAGCACCAAAGTACTAAGTGCCTTGCTTAACTTCGAAGAAAATTTTTGGCACAGACCTTTTTCAAGCTCCAATCAAGTGTCATAATCAGACTTAGGATTTTTTCAGGATTTCAGAAAATTCTGAACGGATATATCCTTTTGCTCAAGAACATTCTTCCACAGTATAGCAGCAATTGAAACATCACCTATAGCAACAGTAGCCATGGGGAAATAATTTTTCTCCAGCAGTGAGAGCAAACCACTATCACAAAACGTTATACATACAATAATATGAAAGCATGATTGTGTGTACCTGGAATCTTGGTGAAGCTTACACTCTTAATGCATATTTTTGTTGTTTTTTAAATCTTAGTTTTTAAAATGACACATTTTTAGTTTAATGATGTCATGTATTTTGGCTTAGACTACTCTGCCTCCTAGTACTCTATAGATATACTGGTTGCTTTAAATATAATCAGCACAATTAATTTAGAAAGAATCATATAGTTGTTTCTTTTCTGCACTGGGATATAAATAATCACAGATTATTATGTCTAGAATAATATTTTAACTTCTCATTATAATTACATATTGTGTTATGTTTTCCTTATGAGAGCTGTATTTCTTCTTATCGGAGCTATATACACTCTTCTTAGGATTTATAAACCAAGCTTGCTTTTTGGATATGCACTTTCCTTCTATTCTTTTCTTTTGCATCACCATCAATAACACCACTCATTCTCCTAATCACCATATTCATATGCTGATAATGAGCTACAATAATTTCAACCAAAGAAAAACCCACCCATCAGTCTGTGTATAACTTCTTCCTCAACACTACAGACAACAGATCTTGTATGATTTGCATCCTATCTGCAAGCAAATTAAGCTTAAAGAATTGATTACTAAATACTGTCATTAAAGTAGTATTAGGAAAAAAATTCACAAAATAGTAAAACAACATTAATGATATATCACAGCTATTCAGCATTTTTGTCCTAAATCTGATAACCCAAGGATAACAACACTGGTGGTACAGAAAAAAAAAAAAAAAAGAAAATTTTTGAGCAAATTATTTTTCATCTAATAGAAGTATTTTCCTTAACATTCATCATCCCCCTCATTTCCTCCATGGAAACTTGGGAGCTAAGCTTGAAATAAACTAAAGATATGGCAGTGGTTATCTTAGTAAATGTCGGTGATATGATTATACTAAATCTGGTGGGAAATTTAGAAGTATTTTGTATTCTGATTTAGGAATACTGTCACCGATCACAATTGTGTGAGAAAGATGATAAGAAAAAATGAGATAGGTCAAAACCAGGAGAGAGAAGAGAAAGAGAAAGCCAATAATCAAAACAGTTTGGTAGTTAGAATACGTAGCTTTGCTATATAATCCTTCTTTCAAGTACCTGCACTGAGCAGGGATTTAAACCTACTTTTTGTACATCAGCAATGAATACCTCAAACTCCTGGTCTTCTGAGTTCACGCATTTTGTAGTTTCATCTAACATTCTTTGCTGGAGCTGAGAAACCTTTTGCCAGGTAAGCATTACGGAAACCAACAAATACACTTCATTAAACTTTTGTTAGGTGAATTTACTTTTTCCAACAATAAGAGTAGAAAATTATGTGAAAAAGTCCTAAAATATCTCTTTCTGTCAAATCAAATAAATGCACCTACAGTATCTTACAAGACAGGTAAAATAAATTGCTGGTTTTTTAATGGATATAGCAAATTGTTCTGCATGCTACCACTTATTAATTCATAACCAGAAAAACAAATTAGGCATTTTGTAAAGGGATTTTAATTACATGCTGTAATTATATATTCTATATTGTTCTTTGAAATCACCATATAGACCAAAATGTGCAAATGCATTTTGCAAAATACATACAATATAATATTTGGTATGATATGTATGGCTATGACTATCTTCGAAAGATGTCAGAGAATATTTGATACTGACAATATATGCAAGTCAGTAAGAAAAAGTGTTTCTTTGTTAAAAGAATCAGTTAAAATTACCAGTTAAAATTCTCTAGGGGCCTGATCCAGAGCTTATTGATATTAGTGGAAATATTCATACTGCGTTTAGCAGATTTCAGATAGAGTCATACTCCAACACATTAAAATTACTAGTGTGGATGAGCTTTTTCTTTCTAAAAACACTGGAGGCAAATACATTAGTTCAAAACCAGTGGGATATCATTCTCAACTAAATCTATAATTCTAAAGTAGAATGTGGCCATGGTAGGTCTGAACAGTGATTTAAACCACATTTGAATTGGACTGGCACACTTAACTGACAATACTTGGGATGATTCTGTGCTCTAAAAAAGCATTTAAATCTGCATGCTTCCTGTTTTTCAAGGGCTAGAGATCAATTTGAGACATTTTAGCACAGTACATCACTTATTTCTGTTTCAGATTCTAAAAATTGCTTTGAAGTATATGCCAGAAGCAAAATTATTTCTGCCCATAGATGAAATAACTCATTTTCTGTGGCTTCCTCAGATGTGGAGTCAATCTCTGCTCAGGAAAAATATCATTTTTAAAAATAGAATAATATGTAACTCCTAATTTTAAGTTTAGCACTTAGCATTCCGAAAACATTATGGACTAAATTGTGGCGCATAGTCACAGGCTATTCTGATGGAGTTGCGTCAATGAGGACCTGTCTTACTTGGGCAGAATCTGCTCTGGGAAATAAGAGAAGGGTCTGTTGTCCATTGCATGTTATCCAAATGAAGAATTTTACTCAAATCCTGCCCAATAGGTGGTTATTAGAAAAGCATGGGAGTGTTAAAAAAATGTGTTCCATTTCCAGTATTTTTGACCCTTTCTTAAGAGTACAGGTTCAAGCAAAATGGTTTGAGCCCGTTACCTCCTTGCCTGGTATTCTCAGATATGTGTGCCAAAAGACAAGACTATTGCTTTATCTCTTCATTCCCCAGCATGAAAAGAGTTCAGGAAGAATTGTTGTCTGCTCTTCTTGAACAGCTGTCTTGCTAGCTGGTGTAAGGTCTTACGGCAGGCTTTCACACGTACACAGATCAGGAGCTGTACGCAGTCTGGCCTTGCATAGATTCAGAGCAGTAACATAAATAGAAAATGGAGAATTACGTTGTATTTGAGAGACACATCTAGTTCAGACCATCACAACTATAGTCACATTACTATTATATGGTTTTCAAAACATTTTCTTACCAATTTTCTGCATAACCCTGAATTCTGAAATATTATGAGATACTTGCAATGAAGTGTTAATGTCATCATCTCTGTTGCTGAACCATTTAGGCTTAATTCTATCTTCCTATGTTAGTACGGATTATAATGAGAGTTCATATAAAGTGAAGGCGGGGCATGTTATCACTAAGGATGGGATCTGTGAATCATGCTGGAGACAGTTCTGGAGTTGTCCAACCCAAAAGGGTTTCATCAGTGGCTAAAGTGGATCTTTGAAGCTATTCATTTTGCCACCCTTTTATTCACAAACTTTTCAGATTTAGTGCGAATCCCACAATTCCTTCCTGGCTTGAGGTTGGGAGGACGCATTTTCTTTTAATGACCCATCATTGGAGATTTTGTTTGCATAAAACATTACTGAATTTGGTTGATGATATAAAATCTAAAATATGGTTGAGAATAAATATATTAAACGTGGAAAATAATCTGACATTCTTTTTTGAGCATCCAAAATTCTGGAATGAGTAAACTGCTTGTACTGCTAAATGCTTTAGAATACCATGTAATAGGAAATGTAATAACATAGAAGGTGCTTATCCAGTATTAGAAAGGTGTTTCCATTGTTTAATGGTATGTAGTGTAATGTTTGGGAAATTAAAGCATATAGAATATTTTCTTAGGGGATTATCTCTTGGTTACTTTGAACTTCTGTGTGGGCCCAGAAACGCACAGTAAATGTGAAAGCTTTTTTGAAAAATATAGTTTACAATAAAAATCTTTCCAACAACATATTTACTAAAACGGTTTGAAGCTCAAAGCCTGAATAAGCAAAACAGACACAAAAGTTGTCCCAGTTACGGTTCAAGTGTGTTTCTGCACATTTTTTTTATATATATGTATAATTAGACAGCATATTGGAATTATAGAATTGTGATAAAGAAAGATTTGGTGAAAACTCTGTTGCCCTGATATTTTGCAAAGAGTTACTGAAAATAAGTTAAGTGTGAAGCATTTCCCAGATGGTAAAAACTCACTCCAAGGAACTTAAATTGATACTCAAAATGTTGCTGTGTTCATGAAGCTGCCTTTGCATCTTTAAAAAGAAAATTGCAATGTACTCTAATCACTGCCAATTGTACTGTAATTTATTACAGGGAAGATAAAATGAACACAAAAATTGCAGGTGGAATTTTGATCTCTCCCTGCATTAAAAACTTGCAGTATAATATCCTCAACCTTCAAGTTTTGACCTATTTTTGGTATATTATCATGAAACTGAGCTTTCTTCAGGGAAATATCAGTAAAACGCCATGCCCTTATGAAAGGGCATGTAATTTAGTTACAAAGACATTCCCTTCAATATAAGCAAGATTTCTTGTATTATCTCAATATAAGTATTAGTTTCTAAAAAACATTTTTAAATCAAAGGATTCATTGTTATGTTTGAAATATTTGAGCCAATTTAGGCTAACCATCTAATATAAACATTTCTTCAAATTCCTTAACATTGCGTTAGTCTTACCAGTTTAAATTGTTTTGCTGTCTAAAGTA